TTAAAGATAACAGTATTATAGCCTCATTTATATTAATGGATATAATTTGTTTCACAGGCAGCTTTTTAAAAACTTTCATGGAATCATGTAAGGATTACTTCTTTTCTTTTTTTTTTTTTTTGAGACAGAGTCTTGCTTTGTTGCCCAGGCTAGAGTGAGTGCCATGGCATCAGCCTAGCTCACAGCAACCTCAAACTCCTGGGCTCAAGCTATCCTCTTGCCTCAGCTTCCCGAGTAGCTGGGACTACAGGAATGCGCCACCATGCCTGGCTGATTTTTTCTATATATTTTTAGTTGTCCAGCTAATTTCTTTCTATTTTTAGTAGAGATGGGGTCTTGCTCTTGCTCAGGCTGGTCTTGAACTCCTGACCTTGAGCAATCTACCCGCCTCAGCCTCCCAGAGTGCTAGGATTACAGGCATGAGCCACCACACCCAGCCTATTTTCTAACAGTGTGTAATCTTTGATATATATGATCTTGTTTGTTAGCTTTGATGTTTGTGATATTTGAGAAATATAAGACTATTTCAGGAATATGACATTAGGAAAATATGTTCTAGTGTTGAATCAGAAAAGTTACTGTTTAAATTGTTTATATTTTTCTAACCTAGGTTTTTCTATTTTTATATTTAGTAGATGTTCTGAATTAATGATTGAAATTATAGCTTAATGACAGTTATTTAAAGTGAGCTTTACAGAACCTTCTTCTGTTTGATTTCAGGTGCCAAGCACCTTGATGGATGTTAGTGTATTGATGGCAGTTCAATTACTAATTGAACAGGTATCATTAGAGAAAAATATGCAGCTCCTGCAACAAATGTATCAATATTTACTCTTTGATTTCCGCATTTGGAACCGTGGTGATTTTCCCTTTCGAATTGGTGAGAACAGGCTATTAGATAAAATTTTATAGGTGTTTTGGAAATTTATAACTACCTATGTGACTTTATTTTAGACATATCATTTACCAGTGAACTTTCTATTTTAGGTCACATACAGTATCTTTCTACCATCATTAAAGACAGCAGGAGAGCTTTCCGAAAGAAGTATGGCGTGCAGTTTCTCCTAGATACACTTAGGATTTATTATGGGTATGATACCCTTGCTCCTTCTCAGTTTGATATATTCTTTTCTGTCTGCTACAGATTGGATTGGTAGATTTTCTCTTTACCAGCAATTCTAATGTCTTTTAACTTCAGAGAGGCAGGATAGTTTAGAGGTTAAAAAGAATAAGGGGTCACATACATTGGGTTTGAATCTTATTTTCATTAATTGTGCAGCTATAGGCAAATTACTTGACTTCTCTGCGCTTGAGTTTCTGCATCTGTGAAGAGTAGATAATAAAACTATGACCTTCTG